TAACCACCTATGGAATTTCGGGACTTTGAGTATCTATCTGAACTGAGGGGACCGAGACGACTTCAACGATACCCTACTTTTGGACCGGAGACGAAAAATAATAAAGTTATCATACTTTTTCTGATGATCGCATGATATGATTGTGCAGTTAACGTTACCTATGGTGAGTAAAAGGCGGCTCGTCTCTGATTCCAGCAAAGAGAAGAAAGAAAACAGTGGGGACGCACGTTCAAACCTAACCTAACCTAGTCTAATAATTTGGTTGGTAATAATTATGGTAATTTATTATAATAGGTTAGGTTAGGTTAGAACGTGTGTCCCCACTGTTTCCTTTCTTCTGTTTGCTGGAATCAGAGACGAGCCGCCATTTTACTCACCATAGGTAACATTATCTGCACAATTANTGTATAACAGAGAGAAAGTAAAAATTAAAGTTATATATATAATTATATAAAATTATAGTTATATACAAGTAAAACGGCAAAACCGTATTTGGTAGAAGATTATGTCTCGGAGACGGAATCACTTTGATGCTCAAGGCAGGTCTCGTTCTCATTCTCCTATCTTCTTTGATATCGCTGCTTTTGGGCGTGATCGTTCAAACTTCGCCGGCCACGACCACGAGATCATCCACTATGCATCTTCGATGAAATTAACCTATCTAATTTCAAAATTTCTCTCCGTTGCGAGTCAGCCCGGGTTGAATTTTTGTCGAATTATCATGGCTATTGTATCGTCCGAAATTATTTTTTATTTTGAACAAACAATATACAGTTTAACCCGATTATAACGTCATCGAATGTAACGACAATCGTAATATAACGTCAAATTTTTATCGGTCCTACGATTTTACTATACTAGATAATGTTAAAAAACACCCACTTGTAACTTGACATAAAACCGTATTAACGTCATATTTGAAGCACTCCCAAATTTACAAAATTAGATTACACATTTTATTTAACATAGAAGAAACTACGTGTTCGGTCCTAAGGATAGAGTTCCATTATTAGAATGACTGTGGGTGGTACTCTCCCCTACCTGACTTCGGTGTGGTGAGGTGGCTGTTTTGCCTGTTTGTAGAAGAGAGTCGCCATTTTGTATTCTATTTTGACTCGATTCTCGGTCCCCTGACTTCCTAAGAGTCTGGATTTTTTTATGCGCAAATGATTTGGGCACCTAATACTCTGTGCCAAATATCAACTCTCGACATGTACTGTACTCCTTCATATCTCTATGCTGGTAAGAACATTGGGCAGTACGATTTTATAAACAAGACATAGTCTTGTCAAAAATTACAGTATACTTATAAATTAAAGTTTATATATAAACCTTAATTTATAATTTTAATTTTTACTTTTCCTCTATTATATATAACAGAGGGAAAATCTATTATATATAATAGATCGGTCAAATAATGACCCCACCAAGATTTTTACATTTTTAGACTCGGGACTCCGAAACGTCGAAAAATGCAAAAAAATTTGGGAGTAATTTCTGTATGTATTGATGTTAGTGTGTGTGTGTGTGTGTCTATATATATATATATACTGTATATATCTCAGCTAAATGAGTTTTGGACCACTTTGTATCTAATCACAACTTGTATCATCTTATGTTCATCTCTTATTGTTTCACCTCTACTTGTATCACCAATATGATTACATACAGTAGAGCATCGATTATCCGACCCCCGATTAACCGTCACCTCGGTTAACCGACCGCGTTCTAGTCGGCAAATTCAAATGCCCGCTTGTGATGTGGCGCTGCAATATTTGGCTACGTCTTGGCTACTTTAATAATATATTTGTTAAATTTTTGCGTGTTTTAGCTGGCTACACCGGCTCGACCATGAAAGGGAAGCCAGTATTTAAACGAGGCCTAATTTTTTAATTATGAGTGGTTGTGTTAAGATTAATCATATTTCTTTTTGTAAACCGCGCTTAAGTTAAGCGTCATCTGTTTATTTTTTATGTCCGGTCATTGAAAGACCGCTATGGATCGAGTGTCAGTTGTATATACAAAAGGTAAATTGTTTACAAACTGAGTCTTTGTCTATTCTCTGATAAATGCACACTTTTATTTCGTCAATTGTTCACGATAGCGGATGTCTTGTGTGTAAGATCCAAGTGGGATGTGCACAAGCTAATAAATGTTCTTGTTAACCTCTTCCTCTCCTATCAATTTTTAATTACATTATAATTAAACATAAAAAATACTTAAAATTGAAAAAAAAACGAAAGAAATGCGTTATTTTTGAAGAAAAAGCTTCAAACTTTATTTTCCATTGTCTC